CTAAACTGATTTTAATGAGGCACTAGGGTCAAAAAATTGTACATGTTGTGAACAAAGTATTTAAATCCTTCTTTTAAACAGATTTCACATGAGGAACTTCTTTTTCATTAAAAAGGTCATTTTGAAATTCAGATGAAAATGTATTCATCTTGTTTTTTTTTTCAGACTTAGGGAATAATTTGTACCATATTATGAAACAAGAATGTACAGCAAAAATGTGGGACTAGTAGTATACTGAGAGTATGTATAAATAGTTTATGCCTTTCTGAGCCTGCCAGTCCTTTTGGCTTTTAACAGTACCCAGCAGCCACAGTCATTATTGTACCCCTTAAGAATTCTTATGTCCACAGTGAAAGGAATGTTGACTTTGAAGTTATGCATTTATATGAATGGTACTGTAGACCAATGGGAATAGTAATTTTTAAAATAAACTTGCTAAATATTGAGAGGCTAAACCAGTAGGTTAATAAATATATGTAGCAAATAAAATAGTCAAACTTATTTTGGAAGATGAAAGCCCATTATGCTAAAATACTTACATGAAGTACAATTATCTGTATATTTCCTATTTTAAAAAAATCTTGAGCCAGGTGCCGTGGCTCATGCCTATAATCCCAGCTACTCAGGAGGCTAAGGTTGGAGAATTGCTTGAACCCGCGAGGTGGAGGTTGCGGTGAGCCAAAGTTGCACCACTGCACTCCAGCCTGCATGACAGAGTGAGACCCTGTCTCAAAATAAATACATATAAAATAAAATAACCTTGAGCTATTTCGATTCTCTTCCAATAGGTAAGCTCTTCCCTGAAAAAATAAGAGTAGGGGATGGGGTGCTCCTGAAGGATGAGGTCATGCACTAGGAAGCCAACTTCAGATCTGAGAAACGGTGGTGGCTTATGGTGGGGACTCTGAGGAATCCTCTCATCTAGGACTGTGCTACTGGGAGTAGTTATTACAAAGCCACCTGCCAAGCGAAGGAGACTAGGGGCTAGGAAAAGTGATTCCTATAGCAGAAGACAAGAAACAGATGTGGAGACTGCACTCTGAGTCAGATTGTTACCCTCACAGACTGCCCTCTCTACTGAACTCTCTTCATTTCGAACTGAAGCTTTACACAAGTTTATTTGAACACTTCTGCCTGGTCATGAACTCTCTGCAGAACAGAAAGGGAAGGTGATTCGTCTACCCTTGAGCTAGAGCATTCAAGGAGAAGCAGCTTCTCACCAAGGTCACCATGGGATTGCTCTTTCCATCAGGAGAGGGTCTTTAATTCTGGACTTTATGTTTTTCATTAAATGCATGAATCCACCTAGAATTTTGTCTTCATTATTAATTTGGTTGGAACACTTTTAATAGAAATGTCTATATAAGTGATTCATATGGACAGTGATATTATTCAATTTCATCCCAGGCTATGTTCAAATGATCATAAAATCTGGACTTTGAAAATAATTTAGAACTCTAGTAGCACTGATAACACTCTCCTATGCTTAAAAAGCCAAGCGCTTAAACATGTGGCAATACTATATATGACCTGTGCTTAGAAACTAGAGGTCAGCAAACATGTTTTTACATTTAACTTAATTTAATTATTATTATTATTATTATTTTTAGAGCTAGGGTCACACTCTGTTGCCCATGCTAAGTGCAGTGGTACAACCATAGCTCACTGTAGGCTTGACCTCCTAGGCATAAGTGATCCTCCTGCCTCAGCCTCCCAAGTAACTGGTACTACAGGTGGACATCACCATGCCCAGCTATTTATTAAATTTTTTGTGTGTGTGGAGATGGGGTCTTGCTATGTTGCTCAGGCTGGTCTTGAACTCCTGGGCTCAAGTGACCCTCCTGCCTCAGCTTCCCAGAGTGGTGGGATTACAGGTGTGAGCCACTGTGCCTGGGCACAAACTTTGTAAAAGACCACTTGACAAATATTTTAGGCTTTATGAGCTGTATGGTCTCTGTTGTAACTACTTAACTTTGCCTTTAAACTAGGACAGCAGCCATAGCAGCTATAAATGCCACACACAAATGCATGTGGCTGTACTGCAAATATTACTTGTAAAATGGGTGGTATGCCAAATTTGGTTTGCAGGCCTTGGTTTGCTGACTTTTGCTCTAAACGGTTCTGTGAAGTAGCTAACAAGGGTATTATGACCCATTTTAAAGATGAAGAAGCTTAAGCTCAGGCAGTGAAACACAAACCATGGGTCAGACCTGGAAAGACAAATGTGAACAAGATGTGGTTTGTCTCTCAAGACCTAGTGCAGTGTGGTAGCTCAGAGCACTTAGCTACCACGCTATGTGAGCTCGCACAGCCACTTCACTGCTCAGCTTCAGTTTCCTCATCTGAAAAATGAAGATAAGAGCAGTGTAGCACCACAAGGCTACTGTGATAATGAAATGAAATAATGCCAGAAAACACTGACTGTAACAATTGGCACATACTGAACACTCAATTAATGTTTTATTATTTCTGATTTTATTATCATACTTGAAACTTGAACAAACTGAAGAAGAGAACAAAGATTCCCACTCCTAAGTTTGCTTGGGGAGCTAGTGAAGATTTCAAAATTCTGTGAGTAAGGATTTAAAAAACAAGCTGGCTTCTGCAGTGACAGTAATAGGTAACAGAGGGAACAGCATGAACAAATTCCTGGGCATATGGTATGGCACGGCTTATTCTGGGTCATGGTGAATGGCAGAGCATGGCAGAAATGTACTATATGTGATGAGGATACAGGAGCTGTAGCTTCAAGAAATACATTGGAAAGCCTCCAAAATGACATGCTAAGATGCGTGGGCTTTCTACTATAGGACATAGCCTGAAGTTTCTAGTCTAGGGAATAACAATGAATATATCTGTGTTTTGAGAAAAAAAAAATCCCTCCAACAGTATTTCGGATGATGTGAGGGAAGAATCTAACAGTTACTGGCATAATTAAAAGGCTGTCACAGCCCAAGTTGGAGATGATGGCTAGAATAAGGCATTGGGCATGGAAAACATTTCAAAGATACCTTAGGGTGCTGTATGGATAAGATTTAGTGATTTTTGTTTGTTTGTTTTTTGAGATGGCGTCTTGCTCTGTCACCCAAGCTGGAGTGCAGTGGTGCGATCTGGGCTCATTGCAACCTCTGCCTCCTGGGTTCAAGCAATTCTCCTGCCTTAGCCTCCTGAGTACCTGAGATTACAGGCATCTGCTACTGTGCCCGGCTAATTTTCGTATTTTTAGTAGAGACAGGGTTTCACCATGTAGGCCAGGCTGGTCTCAAACTCCTGACCTCAAGTGATCCAGCCACCTCAGCCTCCCAAAGTGCTGGGATTACAGGCGTGAGCCACCACATCTGGCCAGATTTAGTGATGTTTTTTTGAAGATGTAGAATATGCCCCAATTGGATTGTAAGCCACTTGAGGGCAGAAATGATGCCTTTCCCCAAAGTACCTAATGCAGTAATGAACAGCCCTGACTTTATAATTTACCAGACATGTGAATGAGAACCTGAGCTAAAATGCTTACAGTTTTCTCATCTCTAAAATAAAGATAGCCACCATTTCCTTGCCTACCTCATATAGCTGACAGTTTAAATAACACATAATCTAATCATAGCCACAGATGAAAGTCATATACAAGTTCTTGAGATGTAGCTAATGAACTATAATAATTCATGCATTCACTCATATTTGTTGAAAACCTACTATGTGCCAGCCCACATACAAGAGATCAGCTAAAGATGGTGCCTAGCAGGCACCTGGATGTCACTCATTCTGAGGGAACCTCAGCTATTCTAATACATTGTTCAGGCTCTTGTGACTATCGGTTAATTACAACACCTCTTTTCTCTGTCACCTCTTATTTCCTATGTTTGGGTAATTTTGTTGAACTACCTCCATCAGAAAATGGTCAGAAAAAAAAAAAGGCAATACAAAGAGATAAAATTCAGTCAGCAGGTTAGCTAAACTTCAGCAGGGAGAAAAGGAAGAAGAAAAACTATTGCCAAGAATGAGGTATCTTTAACTTTTAATGATTTACATCAGATCCAGCACTAATTAACAGAGACAAATGAGTCATTTGCTTAAGTACTTACATACATAAAAACACACTCCTTCACACAAAAACACAACAGGATACATTTTTGAAATTACATGTTCTGTTGACATTTTTCAATAAAATAAAGGCAGCTAAACAAATGTTTTCTTACAGTTTTGTTACTGCCTTTTTGAATTCTAAGAAAAGGCAAGGAAGTACCCTAATGCACTCTAATTCTAAAGAAGCATCTGTTTTCAGAAATGAATTTATAAAACATTTCTGGTAAGTATGTAGTTCTTAAGGGTAGTCTTAATTATTGGGGGGGTCTTAATTTCTTTAGCCCCAAACTCAGTGTTTTGAGGGAAAGTATTACTGATGTTTTTTAATACACCATCAGATCCTGTAAGATTTTTAAGCTTTTGCTTTGACAGCCAGGAGTATTCATAACTTCATATTATTTCTCCAGAAGTTCTAGTGTGCCAAATATAAACCTTTACCTCTTCTAATACTCTCTAAGTTGCATGCATAAATAATCAGCATTAAGATCTTGGGTAATTTCCCAAGAGGGCCGTTGCTGAGGCAGAAACCGACTTTATCTTCTCTGATGTGTATTAAAAGTCATAAATGGGAATCCCAAGTCACTCTTTGACAAATGCTATTTCTCCTGTTGGCTTTCAATGCATGTTAAACAATCTAAACTGAAGCCAAATGCGAGAGCCCACAGAAATCACCTCTGATGCTTTCTCAGATTACAAAAGAAAATTGGCTTTGGACTTAACTTCTCACAGGAATTTTCTGATGAAAAATTTACTTCCAACACCTGAACCAGCAAGAAAACTTGACCTTACCAACCAGTCAGGGGCCCGTGTCTCATCCATCTTTGTACCCCTGATGTACAGAGCAGTGCCTGGCACATAGCAGGTGCCTGGCAAATGTCAGCTGACTTAGATGAAGAACTGAAATGTGTTCAAGCACTAACCTTCAAAAGCATTTCTTCATGTTGGGGATTATCAGAATCATAGGGCTCTCTACGCAGTTTTTCCACATCTGCAATAAGGTTCCTGTACCCAACGATTTGCAGAAGGCAAGCCTGAAGAGAGATTCCCAGCCTAGGATGTTCAAAAACAGAGGAGACACACAAGGAAGAACAGGGCATCACTTTGGCATTTGTTCACTTGATGTATGCATGATAGAACTTTTCATATTAATGTAATATTCAGGGAAAATTGCTCAAAGATGATCTATTTAATAGAAGCACAATTCTTATTAAATCTCCACATGGACAACTGTAGAACCTGGCTAAAATTTGCCTCAAAGTCTGACTTTTTCTACAGCTAAATTGCAATGGTATGGCTTAAAAATAAGGAATTTCTGAGGCCAAGATGGGAGGATTGCTTGAAGCCAGGAGTTCAAAACCAGCCCAGGCAACAAAGCAACATCCTATCTCTACCAAAACCAAACCAAACCAAACCAAACAAAAACCCACAAGGGATTTCTTTATGCAGGTTACTTGAAATTATAGGTAATACTGGACTCTTAGGGATTATATAGCACCCCCCTAGGCGGTCATATCAGAATTACTTTAGAAAGATGTGTGGAAGAGAACCAGGGTGAGGACAACTGAAAAAACCCTTAGGGGCTTCAAGGAAAAAAAATCAGAACAAAATGAAGAGAAACAAAGTAACAATAACACCACCACCTCCACTTGGGAATGTCCTCCTCAGGGGGGACAGTGCTAAGAGGGTAGTTACAACTTTACAAGATGTTCTATTACATTCTGACCAGCTGTAGTTGTCTGAACACGTTTTCTTGTGCTGAAACAAAATCTGCTTTGCTTATGATCAAACGGTTCAAATTCTTTTCTCTGAGCAAATTTATTTCCACCTTTCCCCTGCCATGACTATTTAAGATAGTGATTCTTCTAATCTCTACGGAAAACAGAAATCTTATTTCTTCAATTGCCTCTCATGGGACATGGTTTTCAGATGTTTTATTTTATTTTTATTTTTTAGGTTTTGAGACAGAGTCTCACTCTGTCGCCCAGGCTGGAGTGCAGTGGTACAATCTTGGCTCACTGCAACCTCCGCCTCCTGAGTTCTAGCGATTCTCCTGCCCTAGCCTCCCGAGTGGCTGGGATTACAGGTGCCCACCACTACACCCAGTTAATTTTTATATTTTTTTAATAAAGATGGGGTTTCGCCATGTGTGGCCAGGCCAGTCTCAAACTCCTGACCTCAGGTGACCTCCCTCTGCCTCCCAAAGTGCTGGGATTACAGGCATGAGCCACCGTGCCCAGCCGGTTTTCAGATGTTTTATGATCGCTCTCAGTTCTCTCTGAATGTACACTATTTGAATAATAGTACCGTTAAAGCATATCACTAGAACAGAAAACAATCTGGCAACTATAACACACAGAGGATCATTACTTTCTGTGATCAGAATGCTGTTTTCCCTTTCTACAGCCTCTAAAGTAAGGTAGAATCTGAAGGTCTAAAAGTAGTACTTCATGTTTATCTTTTCCTCCTAAATTCTTTAGAGTCATGTATTTTCTGTGGCTCAAAAATGGCTGAACATTGGCAATTGATACTCTCCAATCTAGTCTTTTGTCTTGTTCACTCACGGACTTTGAGCATGTTGCTGTGGTGTGGTGGTGGTCATTATAATCACTGTACATCATCATATTTTTTTCAGGGGTAAATGACATGCACAGATGTTAAATCTCAAGTTGAAGGCAACAGAACTTAGAACTGTGTACCTGCTCTAAACTTACAGGACAGTCAGACAGCCTAGGAGTACTGAACTTTAATAAAGTCGTATTCAATGAGTGGCTTTCATCATTACTTGTTACCATAGCACCAAACAACTAGGTCAGATATTAAAATTTAGGAAAGGGCACCATAGCACTACTCACCCAGAAAGTCTATGTAGGATGGAGAAGAGAGTTAATTTTGAGGGAAAGAGGAGAATGGAAGGAATGCAAGAGGCAGGAATAAGGAAAGTCAATTAAATTTTCTCAGGTCGGGCGCGGTGTCTCACGCCTGTAATCCCAGCACTTTGGGAGGCAGAGGCAGGCGGATCACAAGGTCTGGGATTTGAGACAAGCGTGGCCAACATGGTAAAACCCCATCTTTACTAAAAATACAAAAATTAGCCAGATGTGATGGCACGTGCCTCTAGTCCCAGCCACTTGGGAGGCTGAGGCAGAAGAATCACTTGAACCCAGGAGACAGAGGTTGCAGTGAGCCTAAACTACACCATTGCACTCCAGCCTGGGTGACAGAGCAAGACTCTTGTCTCAAAAAAAAAAAAAAAAAAAAAAAAAAAATTAAAATAAATAAATAAATTTTCTCTTTCGTAATTTTTAGTGCCACCATAAGCAGCACTTAAAAAAATGTAATTAAAACAAGCGAGGTTAATAGTAGTAACAGTTTGGTAAGTTACAAAAATGTTTCCCCATCTCTAAGCTATTTCTTTGTTTTCTCAGGAAAGTATTTAATTTTTTTATATCAAGCTTATCAATGTTACCCTGGAAAAAAAGGCATTAGAATCCACATGGAGATTAAAAAAAAAATACGACAGGTTGAGTAACCCTTATCTGACATGCTTGGGATCAGACGTGTTTCAGATTTTGGAATATTTGCATATACATAATGAGATATCTCGGGGATGGGACACAAGTCTAAGTATGAAATTCATTTGTGTTTCATATACACCTTATACACATAGTCTGAAGGTAATTTTATACAACATTTTAAATAACAGATGCAATCTGTCATACAAGGTCACCTATGGAATCTTCCACTTGGGGCATCCTGTCAATGCCCAAAAGTTTCAGATTTTGGATTTTCAGATTCGGGATCCTCAACCTGAACCTAAAAGGGTCTTTTAAAAAAATGAGAACAAGAGAATGGATGGCAAAGAAATGCTCTTGAATGCACCTTATATAACTTTCATAGAAAAGATATGCTACTAAATCTAATCCAATCTCTAAACATGATTATTACAGGACTCATATGTCCCTCTTGCCCAGTTGTAGTCTTAAATTTTTCGTTCAATCTTATTTATAATGAATTGCCTTCTTATCACCTTCCCAGAGGAATAAAATATATGTTAGAAGGTTTCAAAAAGACATTTACTATATAAGTAAATCAACCTTTGGTAGCGGAATAGGCAAAAGGCAGCTAATGAACTGAAGTGGCTGCCGAAGAACGCTATGGAGACCAGGTGAAAATGGAGTTTTTGTGACGAGCCCCTGGATAGCTAATATCTAAAATCCTTCCAAGACGGAGACCTATGCAAGTATGCTCTGAAATTCCCTTCAGCTACAGTTCCTGTAATTATTAATAAAAGCCTTTCTCAAAGGTAACATCTGAAGTTCTCAGACACGAACATCTAAAAGACAGTTTGATTATTACCAACCGAAAACCTTCTCTAAATATATCTGCGTTTGGAATTTATTCTACTCAGTGTCTTTAGTGTAAAATTTTACTGAAAAATTGCTGTACCCAGTGGAAAATATGAAGCTAATTTTAAATGTCACGAACATTGCCAAATGCATTTTAATACTTCCAAGATGAGAGGAATAAATTAGGAAGTTCTAAAGTCTTCATATAAAAACCATTTCTCCCTCCCACACATGCCTGTCTTCTTGACAAGCAGGTAGAAATGGTCTCCAAGATTCTCAGTCTGTCATAAAGTAATATTCATGAAGGAAGTGAAGGACTATTCTAGATGAAACAGAATCAGCTTAAGCACATTTACAATTTGAACATTTACTGTTAGTGTAAAACACAGGCATCAGATGGAGTGATTGCTGATGAATGGACTCATCTTTCTCTATCGGGGCACCCATCACATTTCTTACATTCATTGCATCTGAGGAGCATAAGCCACAAAGGAAGTACAAAGTTGCTGCCATTTACAAACATGAAAAAGGTACTTTTTTTCTCTATTCTTTATCTGAAAGTCAAAAAATGGCAGATGATTATTTTAGGGAGAGAGGGAGGGAAGAAAAGAGAGGGGACAGAGAAACACTAAATTTGTGGCCATATGACTTGTGTTCTGTACTTCTGACATAAGAAACATATTCTTACTGTGGATTTATGTCAGGATTAATTTTTTTCAGTTCCATGATATCTTCTATAGTTTTTTCAATAGCGTCAGGGTGAACACTCACAGAAGTCTGCAACAGCTGGAAAACATGTTTCAATCAGTTTTCTTTTCATTAACACCAGAGGCTTAATCAGTATCTACTGGGATACAGGCTTCAAGCATTCGCTTAAGCTTCTATATGAAGATTTAAGTTAAAAGCAAAAATTGATTTAGTGTACTTGAATTCTAATAAATTTGACGTTTTCACAATGGGGGTGGCAGTGCAATTTTCCTGATTACTTTAATCAGGAAAACACATACAATTTTTTTGGTTTTGTTCTTACCATTTTCCTGTTTCAAGCTACCTATATTGAAATGTAATATTTTCATTTCCTTGCCCAACATAGTTTCTATTGTTAATGGGCATTAAGTTTATGACTAAAGAGTGAGGCACATGGGGGAGATAGTCTTCAGGATGCCAAAATTAATAAGATCAAATTATCAAGAACCTTGAAAAAGAAAACAGGTTTTCTTTCTTATGTGGATGCTCCACTATGCTATAAAAGCTAGCGTAGTAGCTTCTTTGATATTATTGAAAAATCTTCAGTATAATGTTAAATGATTTCAATATTGAGGAAATAGTAGGGAGTTAATATTGTTCCCATGTTCAAGGAATATTTATTTTATGATGTGGGAAGAGGTATAAGAAAGGGTTCATTTGACAATAAAGTAATAAGTAGTTCACAAACCTGCCTAGAAATTCACATACAGTGGCTGTTCTCATGTAAATAGTACAGTGGTTTGTAATGGGCAAATGATTATTTCTTCTCAGTTGGCAGTTTTCCTAGCCAATGCTGTATTTTGGTTTCTTAGAATTTTCACTTCTTAGGATAGAGGTAAGCCTCCAAGTGAAAAAAAAAGCTGCTGAAAAATAATTTTACTTACCTTACTTTTAGAATCCCTCAGTGATGTTTCTGTGAAAGCAGTAACAAAAACAGTCATTCAAAGATTATCCTTTACACATGGTTTAGAATTACTACACTGAAAGATAACATTGTATCCTCTATCCTACCAACTCTACCTTTTGCTTACTTCTTTGTCTCAGGCTTACCGATTTTCATGGTTCTAGAAGCTCCTGGCTTGGTATTGTAACAGATCCGCTGTAGTTCACATCTTCCAGTTAGCTTCCTCATTACAAATTTCAGGCAGCGCCACAGAAATTTACAGTAAAAATACAGGCATACCTGGATCAACATTCTGTGAAAAACAAAAGACAGCACCCTTCCAATAGAACTCTGGAAGAAAAGAGAAAGCAGCCACCACCAGCAAGAAAAGAAGCCCGGGAGAAAATCGGGGTTAGAAAAATCACCTTATACTTAACATATGTTTCTAGTCCCATGCTACTTTATTTTGCAGTAGCTACACTTACTATGGCTGTAAGAAACTCCAGAATTTTCTATTCTAGTAAATTTGATATTCCAACAAACGGAGGATGAAGCATTAGAATCTTTTCTTTTCCCTCCTTTGCCTAAAAACATCTTGGAAATAAATGAGTGCCTTGAAAACAGAATCCTTTAATACTGCTTGTGTTTTAGGAGTCGCCCCTCCCTTTGATGGGGGGAAGAACATGCTTTACTCTTTTGCCTCCATGAACAGCCTCTCAGCTTGCCCTTCTCCATTTCCAGCCCCTCTCTAGTGCCCTCCTTACCCTCCACCAAACCCACTATTTGATTCTTCCCTTGCTGTCTCCCTCTGCTTTCCCTTAGGCATTGCAGACCTCCTTGAGGACTTGGTTGTGGCCACCTGCCTTTTCTGCCGACCTATCCTAACATTCCCTGACCTTGTCAGAAGCCCTTCTCATCAATTCACTGAACAAGCACCATTGACCTTTGATTTTCCTAGAGGTGACAACTTTCTGTGATTTAAATGTTTCAAAAACTCCTCTTGAGAAGTTTGTTCTTGGCTCTTGCTGAAGAAAGTTTTCTTTACTGTACACCATACCTCATTCCAGCAATACCTCAACAAATGACGAACTATATTGTCACCAGTCATGTCCTTATTCACACATCTATGGCCCATGTAAGTCCATCTTTAATGATGACTTTTAATTTTAAAAATGTGAGTGCCTACTATTTCATGGTATGGTTCAGAATTTCAAAAATGACTCAAGCTTTAGTGGTAAAGAGGACTTATTATCTGGGAACTTATATATTCAACCTATCTTCTCTTTGTACTGTACATTCCCAGGAGGCAGAATTATTTATATTACTTCCTTTTGGTGTTATTTGGAAAAGATTTTTCTTTATTATCAAAAGTTCACTAATTCCTTCCAGTTCTAAAATAAGGTGATGCGTGGTCACTCAGATATACTGGAGTAGTTAACTAGTAGCCTCCACAATGTGATCCACCCCTGAAAAAGAATCAAAACCTTGGCTGTATTCCTTTCCTCAAATTGCTCTGGTTCCAATATCTTCAACAGCCTTGTGTTAAAAATAAAAACTCGAACAATCTGATTTGCACAAAGGCATGGGGTTTATACCTTATAAAGGAAATGGAAAGAAACAGTACAAAACAACCAAGCTGCTATACTGAGATAACATAATGGAATGTTTTGCAGGCAACAAGATTATGTCCTAGAATATCTAATAACATGAAAATGTCCATGATATGTTTATCAAGTAGAAAAAAAGTTAAAAAGAAATATGTATGGGATAATCCGCTTTTCCTTTAAAAAATAAAACAAAAAATTTTAATAGTATCCTATAAAGCAGGATATACAACAAAAATGTTAACAGTGGTATTCATTGGTAATAAAATAATCAGTAATTTTTATTTTCTTTTTTAAGAACATTTTTGTAACAAATATGTATTATTTTATTTAAAAAATGAAAATTATAACTAAAATTACGATACATAAAATGATCACCAAAAGCCATTATAAAAGTGCATATAAAATTTCCATGTATAGTCAGTACAAAGTCAACCAGATTCTGCTGAAAGACAAAAATGGATTTACCATATTGTAAAGCCTAACATTCAACTGTTCTAGTCAAATATATTCTAAGATTGGTTAGGATTTAGTTTAACAGCTTCCAAAAAAAAAAAAAAAAACACCCCAAACAACAACAACAACAAAACCCAGTAGCCCTAAAAATAAATTTAGTGGGATATTTTAATTAAACAAGTGAGAAGATTTATAAAACCTCAGGGCTGGGCGTGGTGGCTCACGCCTGTAATCTCAGCACTTTGGGAGGCCGAGGTGGGTGGATCACGAGGTCACGAGGTCAAGACCATCCCGGCCAACATGGTAAAACCTCTCTACTAAAAATACAAAAATTAGCTGGGTAGGTGGTGCATGCCTGTAGTCCCAGCTACTCGGGAGGCTGAGGCTGGAGAATTGCTTGAACCCAGGAGGTGGAGGTTGCAGTGAGCCCAGATCGCACCACTGTACTCCAGCCTGGCGACAGAGAGTCTCTGTTTCAAAAACAAGCAAATAAAAAAACCTCAGCTTGCTGTCTTGGAAAATGTTTTTCATTTTCTAACTACTGGATAGCTATGCCAAAAAAAAAAAAAAAAAATTGAGCAATACCTTGTTAACTGGTCCCCAGCCAAATGGTAATGATATTCAGTACTGGGATATATATGTATATACATTCACATATTAATATATACTATTAATTACTAAGTCAAAGATAAAAGCTTTCCCTAATATCTGTTCCATGTGCAATTTTCAGGGAAGTCCACCCCATCTGTGGGCTTGCAGCTCAACAGAAGCTACCTTTTCGTGTGGCAGAACTCTAGCACAAGTGAAACTATGTGATAATCCAGTTCTGTTTGTACTAAATCTTCCTAGAGAAGAGGACCCTTATGATTGTTCCTGGAGTGTCTCCGTATTCTTCCTATTCAGGTTCCAAGGCATCAAATACAGCTTCAATTAAGCTACAAAATGTTTTCCCTGTGACCTCTGTATCAGGTCTACACAAAAAGGAGGCTTGAGACCTAGAAGTGTCATCCTAAGTGGCAGGAAGTGTCCATATATAGAGTTACCTACGGCCCAACTCTAATTTCTCCCACTGGCCTCCTTGTGTATGAGGAAAATGGCTGTGTTACTGTTTTGCATCAAGACAGTCTTACATCAAAAGGAAGAAAAGACATCACATTCTGTTTGCTTTTATCTTTTTAAAAAACTTCCTTGACGATGCTCATACTGTCAAAGACATGAAAGCCAGGAGAAATCCACAGTGGGGGTTAGGGATGAAGCATCATTTCTTAGGGTTCACCACTCTGAGGTAAATCACATCTCTCTCACATAGTCATAAACAATTTCAATTATGAAATGATATCTATATGCTGCTTGCTCTTTCATAATTCCTGGGCCAACAGGACCTGATAATGCTACTTACTACCCAAGAAATATTCTATTTTCTCCCCTTATTTTTCTAATAGACCAATAAGCCCACAAATATTTAATTAAAACCTCAGCTTGCTATGCCAGGTACCATATTTTCTTGCTATGCTAGTTACTATATTCTTTTTAATCCAGATCATCAGATCAAATTATGTTTTGACAGGTGTAATTTATTTTGTGTGTAGGTTATAAACCTGGCCCAGGCACATCATGGTCAGAGACGGAAACACCAGGGTGATCCCTTACTCTGGAAACAATAGACAACTTGCTTCCTTATAAAAGGACCAACTCCTCAAAACCTCCACTTGAGCAACTCAGGCTGCCATCAAATACTGCCAGGAGCTCACTTCTTAAATTATGTGGACCTATTTAAGTCCCTAAATCACAAAGTTTATGGAAAAAAACTGCTGAGCATCAAAAGCAGAACAATAAAAATGATTAACTATTTTTAGAGAATGTTTTATTGGCTTGACATGTTTACCTTTAAAAGGAAGCAATTAAGAAATAGATCTGTAAATGCTCTTGAGCTAATCCGTGGTTGTTTAGGAAAGAAAGGAAGAAAGAGAGAAAGAGAGAAAGAAAGAAAGAAAGAAAGGAAAAAAGAAAAGAAAGAAAGAAAGAAAAAGAAAGAAAGGAAGAAAGGAAGGAAGGAGAGAAGGAAGGAAAGAAGGAAGGAAGGAAGTAAAAAGGGGAAGGGGAAGGGGAAGGGGAGAGGGAAGGGAAGGTAGAGACAAGAGGGAAGGGAGGAACAGGAGGGAGGAACAGGAGGGAGAGAGGAAGGAAGAGAACAAGGAAGGGAGAGAGAAAAGGTGTATCTGTTTCTTATTTGAGTTTAAGGCTTTGGGGATTCATTGTATCCTTTCCTCCTTTCAATTACATTTGTTTTATGCCCCCTTTTTTTTTTTTCATGACTGCATGCTTTGGGAGGAGGCATTTCAAATGCACCTGTGAGACAGAACCCACGTACTCTCTCTTGCACCAGCACTAATCTCCACCTCCTGTTTCACCCCCTCTTCACCTCCTGAACCCTCTGCTCAGGGGGTTTATGATTCTGCTCCTTTTCCTTCCAGGCTGAATCAGGAAACCAATGAGATTAGTTTTAATTGGGCAATATTGGCTTTTCTTCTTCATAACGTTAGACTTAGTTTTCTTCATTTTGATGGAAGATTCTTGACTCACTACTACAAAAATCTGTTAAGATTTTGTAGGAACAACAATTAAATCCTCAAGACTAGATGGAGAAAATACTGATCACCACCTCCTCTTTCTAACAACTACATGCATAGGCAGCAGTTTTTTGTTTATTTCTGTTTTTTAACCACAGCTTTTTGATAGTGTTCCAAAAAGAGCTACTGTAGCTTCCTAAGACAAATGCCTTGCTTCAACACTGGGAGAATCTGATTCAATAATAAGAGCTACTACACATGCTCCATTTCCAATCTTTTCTGTTACTACCTTTTATTAATATGCTGCAGAGTGATGTTTATGGCTGAGTTCACAGCGGTGTTCTTCCATAAAGCAATCATGATCACGTTTATTATTTAACATTCATTCTCTAGTTTGAACCAGAATAGCCACCCAATGTAAATTATTCAAAATGGATCATATCTCTGCTACCAAATAAAAACAACCTCCTGTCTTGTGGCACTTTGTTAGAGGAATCCATTCAGGAGGGATGGGGCCTCCGAAACAGGAAATGCACCTAAAACCATGTAGCCCCTTGCCTGTGGGGTGAGGGGGTGTGGGTACCTGTAATGCAACACTACTCCATCATCTTAAATTTGTGACTCTGACGTCTTCTTTTGGAACAATAAGAGAAAAGTGGCTTATTTTGAACAGTTTCAATGAATGTGCTAATGAAAGTTAATTCTTGCTTGAAGAAATCCTGTAATAAATAAAAAGTACACTATTGTTGATGAAAGATACGTACAAAAATAATCACGGTTCTTGGTTCAAACCACACTTTCCCAAATGAAACACTTTTCATCTAAACACCATAGAGAAGAGCAAGTGGCTCAATGTCCCCAGCAGTTCATTTAGTTGCTCCATTGAAGTTCCTAAGCAGGGGCACTGACAATCAGCTGAGAATTAACTTATCAGTAGGTACTTTGCCGAGTAAATAGGACCATCTCTCTAAGAGCTCTCTGCTAGGAAGAGAGGCAGCAGAGGACTTGGTACATGAACTGGAAATGTGAAATCACACAAACAAACCATCCGTGGGTCTCTAGGAAAACAAGAGTGCTTCCTTCCTATAGAGCAGGTGAGAGGTTCCAAGATCCCATGCCCAGATAGCGTGGGGCCCTATGGTTTTTTTCCATTATTCTTTTTCTGAAGAGATGACACTAACTTCCGAACCGTAAAAATTAAGGGGATTGGGGGGTATATATCTATCATGGATCAATGTGATTCAAAACTATACTGCTGTAGCAAAGGGCACTCTTTTTATAATACATTCCAGGGAAATTGTATCTGAGGCCTTACAGAGCACTAGCTGATTGTGTAACAATTAAAATAAATAAATTATAGTGTAACCCTTTCCTTTCAAAGAAAAGGAGGTACAGGTTTCTCTTAATTTATTAACGACATCATTATTCAACTAAAATTTTGATGCATAAATACACTTTATAAGATTTATTTCTATTTATTTATTTTTCAAGACACAGTCTTACTCTGTTGCCTAGGCTGAAGCAGTCTCAACCTCTCTGGGCTCAGGTGGTCCTCCTACCTCAGCCTCCTGAGTAGCTGGGACTACAGGTGTGCGCCACCATGCTTGGCTAATTTTTGTATTTTGTATAAAGACAGGGTCTTGCTGTGTTGCCCAAGTTGGTCTTGAACTCATGGGCTCAAGCAATCTGCCCACCTCAGCCTCCCAAAGTGCCAGGATTATAGGGATGAGCCACTGTGCCTGGCTACAAGATTTATTTTTTAAAATCAGGTTATTTTTTACTCTTTGGATAATATTTTTATTGACTTATTTATAAGGAGAAGCAATGAACACATTATAACACATTATACTTTGACATTTTAAAAGTATTTAAATGCAACCTCAAATATAAACTTTTATTGGTAATTATTTTTAAGGCAACTCAAATTAAGTAAATATATAAATAAAGGAAAGTCATCAAAGGTATTATTCATGCTCCATCATCCATTATAGGGTTCAAAATATTCTATAGGGGATAAGAAATAGGCCCGTTATTATTATAAATTTGCTACATAATATAATTCAAAAAAATTTAAACAACCCAGTTAGAGGACATGCTCAGTATTGTGAACAAATTCATTTTTGTTAAAGATCTAAAGCAGCTGAAAGAAAGAGATTTGAAATGAGTTGGGGGAAAATGAAAAATGATAATTGAAAGGTATTTCAATTTATTTTATTTATTCCTTCATAGAACCAAACACAAAATTAGACTGACTATGCAGTACAGAAGAAACGAGAGTGGGAAATATGGCGGTGGAAAAAGTGAACATGAGTCAAGAACTGATTTTCGCAGCAAGCCATATGACCTCCCTGTCCACAAGGAGCTTATAGTCTAGCAAGGAAAAGGACAATAAAAACAAAACATTGAAAAACAGTGTGACAGTTCTATAAAAGAAAAACACCCAAGGTGTTGGAGAGGCAGAGGAGAGAGAGAGAGAGTACATTCCTCTGAGGTTGGACAGGAAAGTCAACTTCGCCATCCCACAAGGACAGCCAGAAACAGTCTGGAAAATCAGCGTGCCTTCCTTGCTTCAGAACAAAAGTGAATATTCCAGTGAGCATGTTCTCACTCATAGGTGGGAACTGAACAATGAGATCACTTGGACACAGGAAGGGGAACATCACACACTGGGGCGTGTTGTGGGGTGGGGGGAGGGGGAGGGATAGCATTAGGAGATATACCTAATGTAAATGACGAGTTAACGGGTGCAGCACACCAACATGGCACATGTATACATATGTAACAAACCTGTACGTTGTGCACATGTATCCTAGAACACAAAGTTAAAAAAAAAAATTCCAATGAGTAAATGAATGAAATTCAAACTAACATTTATTGAGTGCCCATGGCTTTCGGTTATATTGCTCATGCTCTGTGGGAAGAGCTTAACAAACAGCGAAGTGGCCAAAGAGTTGGCCCTGAAAAGCTGAGAGAAAGCCAAGGGGTGGGAGAGCTGGAATGTACGTGATCCAGCTCCCAGAAGATCTCCGACAACAGCTTGAGGGCAATGGGCAGACTTTGGGAAGGTCACCTACAGGAGATTGCCTAGAAAAAGATGCAGGTTAACATATTTCAGTGAGAGTGTGGACACAGCTTTTGTTTGTTTTAATGTAGGGAGCAAAATAATTTAAAATATATGTGTGTGTATATATGTACATATTTGTGTTTATATATATGTATGTGTCATATATAAGCACACATACATGTACAAATATACATGCATACATGTACGTACCATAAAAAAGAGAACACTACAGCTGAAAGTACCAGTCTACAGTGAGAGAGGTATTTGGATGCATAGGCCATAAGCGTTCCCCTTTTTAGGACTTAGCTTCTATATCTTATAAGCTCAGTCAATGCCTCAAGCAATGCTAATCAAATTCTGGAACAACTACATGTTCCCGCACCTTCTGCTCTTCAAAAACAATGGAAAGTGGGTCATGCTGAATAAAAAGTTTGACTAACTTGTCTGGAAGTCAGACTTGGAGTCTAGTCCCAATTTGCCTCTATGAACTATGAGACTTTGGAAAGGTTACTTTGCTTCTCTGGGTTTCTTCTTTCTCACACATAAGGTGAAGGGATTGGAGTAGATTTCTGGTTCTAAGAGAAGGCCAGACGTATTACAAGGGGAAAAGATTTTTTTATCCAATTTTCCTTTCTCTTTGAGGTGCTCTTTAAGTCAGGGTGAAAACGTTGCCATGCCCTGGGCTGCTTTATGCTGTGCTTGCAAAGGTGACCAAGAACTGCTCCTAACTTGATTTTTGCAACTCGTCTTCTACTCACCCCAAACAGGGTCTACATCTAACAAACTTGGACCTAGTGCTTATGGCATCAGTCATGCCTTCTTGGCCTTGTTTATAGCATCCCACATCTTCCATCTTTATTTTAAAATATTAAAATCCTAGTCCTTCCTTTCTCTCTCTTTTTTTTTTTTTTTTTGAGACAGAGTCTCGCTCTGTCACCCAGGCTGGAGTACAGTGGCCGGATCTCAGCTCACTACAAGCTCTGCCTCCCAGGTTTACGCCATTCTCCTGCCTCAGCCTCCCAAATAGCTGGGACTACAGGCGCCCGCCACCTCGCCCGGCTAGTTTTTTGTATTTTTAGTAGAGACGGGGTTTCACCGTGTTAGCCAGGCTGGTCTCGATCTCCTGACCTCGTGATCCGCCCGTCTCGGCCTCCCAAAGTGCTGGGATTACAGGCTTGAGCCACCGTGCCCGGCCCCTTTCTCTTAACATTGTCTCAAGGAAGTGTTTTGTGAATATTCCTTCACAAAATGTCTGTAACCTGTCACTGATCGCATTCCTTTATATATCTTAGTTTTGTATGCATACGCCTCGGCTCTTACCAGGTGGTGTGTTACTTTGGAACAAAGACATCTCACATTCATTTATTTTTGAGATGGAGTTTTGCTCTGGTTGCCCAGGCTGGAGTACAGTGGTGTGATCTCGGCTCACGACAACCTCCGCCTCCCGGGTTCAAGAGATTCTCCTGCCTCAGCATCCCTAGTAGCTAGGATTACAGGCACCTGCCACCATGACCAACCAATTTTTGTATTTTTAGTAGAGATGGGGTTTCACCTTGTTGGTCAGGCTGGTCTTGAACTCCTGACCTCAGGTGATCCGCCTGCCTCAGCCTCCCAAAGTTCTGGGATTACAGGCATGAGCCACCATGCCTGGCCCTCACATTCATTTTTGAATCACCCACAATACCTCACAGTAGGCTCACAGTAATGGGGTAATGTGATACAAACATGAGAAACAGCTCGGAAGTCAAAAAGGCCTGCATTCAAACATCTGTGTGCCTTTGTTTAAGTCACTTAACTTTACTAAGCCTCCTTGTCCTCCTTTGTAAAATGGGATATTATGTCTTACTAATTACATTTGCTATGAAGAGAGAATAAAAGTGGCATAAATACTTGCATTATTAGCTACGAATGCACACTAAATGAATTAGTGGACCAAGATATTAATCAAGTATGAATGACTTAAAAATCCAATTTGTAGTTATTTTTGCTGATTGTAAGCCTTTATTTACCTAATCATACTAGAAAAATAGGTTTTTCCCTCGATTGCCTCAAAGTTGGGACATGGGATAAGTGTGCTGTATTGCTCAGTTCCTCCCACAGAGGTTTGAGCTTGGCAGATATTTTCCTTTCCTCTTTTCTGCTGGAGGAAGGAAAATATGAGGTGAGATCCAGGGCCAAGAAACAGATTCTGAGACTGGAACAGTTGGAAGCAATGATTTATATGGGGGACTTTAAAATTTTCCTTTATTAATTTCCAGAATTAATCATGTTCTGGTAACTTTAAAAAATATACCCTCAATAACTAAATCCCAATGAGGGAAAAGATCTTCAGCACAAGTCTTCAGACTTCTCTGTAATACACATTAACTGAATTAAAGTTAGTAAAATATATTACAAAAATGAAACCCTAAGCTTTTGTTCTAGCTGGGACTTAAAAAATGTTCCTTCTTTTTCTGATCACATGTAGGTATGTTTTGTTATCCATGTTATTCCATGTTTTCTTTTTATTTTCTTTTTTTGTTTTTGTTTTTGTTTTTGAGATGGAGTCTCACTCTCTCGCCAGGCTGGAATGCAATGGTACGATCTTTGCCCACTGCAACTTCCGCCTCTGTGGTTCAAGTGATTCTCCTACCTCAGCCTCCTGAGTAGCTGGGATTACAGGCATGTGTCACCACACCCAGTTAATTTCTGTATTTTTAGTAGAGACAGTTTCACTATGTTGGCCAGGATGGTCTCAATCTCTTGACTTCGTGATCCACCTGCCTAGGCCTCTCAAAATGCTGGGATTACAGGCATGAGCCACCACGCCCAGCTTCATGTTTTCTTTTCATGCACATCATGGCTAAAGTCAGATTGGATGATTTGGGGATATATATCCAAGATCCCATTTCTATCCTCAATTTAAAATACACACTTTAGACCATCCTGGCTAACACGGTGAAACCCCGTCTCTACTAAAAAATACAAAAAACTAGCCGGGCGAGGTGGCGGGCGCCTGTAGTCCCAGCTACTCGGGAGGCTGAGGCAGGAGAATGGCGTAAACCCGGGAGGCGGAGCTTGCAGTGAGCTGAGATCCGGCCACTGCACTCCAGCCTGGGCGGCAGAGCGAGACTCCGTCTCAAAAAAAAAAAAATACACACTTTAGCCAGGTGTACTAATCGAATAGCATTTGTTCCTTATATTTCATGTAATTTTTGACATAGATTGAATATTTTCTCTATTCCTTTATGCTCTGAATATTTATACCATTAATATATCTGATGGTAGCAATTGGGTATCATGTATCTTAAATGTGGATCAAAATCCATTTTTTCCCACAACCTGGTTTCTCTAAGGTTAACCTAATTTCTTCTGGAACTGTGCATGGAGCATTTCATTCTAGAGCATCTCAGAAGTTGACAGATTAATCACTGTGTGGGCTTTTAAACAATGCTGAATTCTTCCCTGTGAAAATCAGCTCCTCATTCTCCATAATACATTTGCTGAGCTCAGGAACTAACACCTGATTCATTCAGGCTTTGCTTACATAACCTTCTCTTTGGTTCAAATGAAAAGATCGCCAAAATCGTCCAACATCTGTGGAAATGGACTACAGAAAATAAATCAACTAAAGAAGGGAAATGATCAAGTTTCCTTTTATTATTTCTAAACCAACGGTCAATGAAAATCCTCAAGTTTCTGTTTTAATGTACAATCTGTTATCCTAGCTTTAGTTTCACATAGATAATCAATGCCATATAATATTTATAAAATATACACTCCAAGTTACATGAAAAAAATGTTTATCAGAACACGTAACTAATAGGGATGTGTTGGTTCTGTAACCCTTGGTGCTAGTCTATGCAAAATTACAGTGGTATATTTTCACTGTACCAGTTCCAAATCATCATACACAAATTAATTTAAAAATATACTCTCTACTAAACATGTTGCACCTATTCAGTTTAACAATAAAACTAACAGAACCAAAAGCTACTATTTTTCCTAAAATGACTGGTTTTGAGGTGGCTCAAGTTTTTCTAAAACAAATGAGACACTGAGGAAGAAACTGAGTAGCACAAGGCTTGGCAACCTCACCACCATCATCACCACTTTTACAAAGGAAGCTCCTAAATTCTAAGCTTCATCTCACACTAAAGCTTTCTGTTAACAGGATTCCACAGCTGAAAGACCCCATGTTTACATTCAGGAGGTGTGCACAAATGCCAAATTTTCATGAATAGAGATAGGTCAGTTAATTACCATGACAACCAAGAACATATTAGGTCAAATACTTGGCTGGCAAATGTCCTCGTGATTTTCAAATACTATATTTTTACACAACTGAGATCAATACTATTCTGTACAATAAAACAAATGCTGATGCCTGTAAATTGTTCACAGTAATCTCCTGAGAGGTTTTCACAATTCTAAGATCCAGTAAACTACCAGTAGCTGCCTCAAAACCCAGTGAATCCTACACAAGCTGATCTGGGTGCTCCGGAAACAACAATGGAACCAAAACCACTGGAGGGGGGCGGGGGGTATCTTAAATTATGGCCATTGAAGGAGTCAAACCATTTCTTAAAAGATGCAAGTCTATTAATTTGCTTAGAAAACACAAGCCCGAGTGAAAGACAAGAACGTGTAACAGAGGAAAGTCACCATCTTGAGGAAAAGGAGCCCGATCTTCTGGAAAGTGGGCTGTATTTTCTCACATTCAGGACCTAAGTTTATTTTGCCGTATTTTAATACTATGCAAAATTTATCTGGGAATTCCATTAATAGACAACTGAATGGCAGTCAATACTCTTGAAAATAATTATAACTTTAGGTCCAGCCAAATGGTTTTCAAAACTAAAAAAAGATCACCCCAAACATACCAATGTATGGCAAACTCTGTCCAGCACAGTCTTCAGGGAACCAACAATTGATACAAATTTCAGAGACATCACTGAGGTAAGAAGAGTGGAAGCTTAGAACATATAGTTTGACCCCCACAAAATTTTCAAATGCCCGTATGGATTGGCCAGCCACCCAAAATCTAAATTAAAGGATATTTAAAAGGACACTTATTTCCAGAAAATGATTTTGCACAAATTGTATCAAGTGATTCATTGACAGCTATTTCCTTAAACCTTTCAGGCCAGCGGTGTACCATTGTGCAGAGACAGGGCACCAGGGCTGTCTCAAGTGCTTTTGTGCCCACACTCTCTCACTATCTACAAGTGCTCTGTCTTGTCATCAACACATACATAGAGTTAGCAGAGGAATTTTGTGGCCAAGTTATTCTTGGCAAAAATGCAATGCTATTTCACAGACTCTTAGGAGAGCTGGTCACAGGATCACAAATGATGACTGGTAATACTACCCTAACCAGTGAGGAGGTTTCTCCACTGCAGAGGGCCTGGCCAGGGAACCGCAAACACATACCTCAGGAAGTGCTTCATGGTGCCCGTGTTGACTGTCCAGATACTATACGAACTGTCCTCAAGTAATTGCTTCCAAATTTGCCTTTGTCAAAGTAAGCGTCAACTGTGGGAAGAAATTAGATATTAGGTATATTTACTAATAAGGCTGGAAGCTGCAAAGCAAAAATTTCTGCTTACTGAGGTAAGCAGGTAACATGCCAGCCACCCAGAACATTATCAACGGAACTGTCCACAGAGCAATGCAATTCAATGGATGGAGATTACAGTTATAGACTTTGACTTTATAATTATATTAATACAATTAGCCTTTCATTTTAAGTCACTTGCTGGAATAATTATGAATTTCATGAGCAATCTCTGCAATATTAAGCTTTTCCTTTATTTTGAGTATTGTTCCTATATCTTTAGGAATAGTATTCATAAGAAAAATAAAAATGAAGAACAATAAAATTAACCATCTGGATTTCCAGATATCCAATAGTCCAAAATCTGGCGGCCCCAACTTTGTAGAAGTACAACTCAAAAATAACTGGAACCAACTAATTTTAAGATAAAAGATAACTGTTAAAGAGCTCAAGCTCAAGAATAACTTAAAGAGCAAGATACTACAAAGAAATGAATGATGCCCCAGGCCCCGTTGTCTTTTGGCACAGTGAACAGAGCAGTGGGATTTGATATTTGCATGGCACTTTTTGGTTTATGATTTGCTTTCACAAAGTGTATATCAGGTTATCAGCCTTCTTCCTTTTGATAAGGAGGACACTAGGAGCAGCCTACAAAGCAGTAAGTTAGAATGAGAGGGGATAAAACAGACTATAGAAGAGAGAGTGTCTGTAAGTGGAGAGAAGTTATCTCATGAGAAAAGAGACAAATGGAACATCCACTGCAGCAGCAATGCAAGGAAACGAATCTACATTCGAAAAAGAGCTGCAGGCAGAGACACACTGCCAACTAGAACAGCCCAGAGTGTGGGAACTCATACTTAGCTCGAATAAAAGCTGGTCTCTTATTTAACACATTTATTTCTGTAAATATTCCATACATGCTTGAAAAAACTGTCTATACACCAATTTAAGACTGTGGTTGCTTTTGGGAAGAGAGGTGGGGTTTAGGATTGGAAGGAGAAAAACGATCTTCTTAACTTTGTGTGTTTTATTTCTTAAAATATATCTGAGGAGAAATAAAAGGAAAAATAACGTTTATTCATTTTGAGTGGTGGGAACATATATTATCCTTTGTACTTTTGTGGCTTTTATAAATGAATCCAAATTTTAATTTAATTTAGTTAGTTCCCACCAACACTCAGATCATAGTTTCTAATATATTCAACAATAAAAGCATCTAGGGGACGTTAGGGAAATGGTTGATTCTAAAGCTGGGTTAGGGCAAGGTGAACCCGAAGCATCTTGCAGCACAAGAAAGTCAAGAAGTGCTCAAGGTAAACAAAATAGATGTGTGTCAAATAAACACAGCAGCCAACTGAAAGAACTCCCAATGGTCAAATAATTGATGTAGCTACTCTGCCCTCAAGTAGGTTGAGCAGGCGAGGTGCCCTGGCTCACGCCTGTAATCCCAGCATGTGCACATGCAAAGCCCTAAAGGCAAAAGAACGCACAATATCTATAAGAGATAAAGTTCCAATATGACTTAGTGTGGTGCTCAGTGAGAGGGATGGGAAAAATAGTGATGGCAAGATGTGGAAAAACAAGTAGGGTCAGATCAAGAAGGCTTAGTAAGTAATGTTGAAGTTTGAACCTTATCTCAAGAGCAATAAGGAACTATTGAAAGTGTTCAAACTGAGATGTGACGAGATCAGATCTCTAGTTTAAAAAATATACTCTGACTCCAGCCTGGGCGACAGAGCGAGACTACGTCTCAAAAAAAAAAAAAATACTCTGGGCCAGGCATGGTGGTTCATGCCTGTAATCCCAGCATTTTGGGAGGCCGAGGCAGGTGGATCACGAGGTCAGGAGATCGAGACCATCCTGGCCAACATGGTGAAACCCCATCTCTACTAAAAATACAAAAATTAGCCGAGTGTGGTGGTGTGCACCTGTAGCCCCAGCAACTCAGGAGGCTGAGGCAGAAGAATTGCTTGAACCCAGGAGGCGGAGGTTGCAGTGACCTGAGATCGCATCATTGCACTCCAGCCTGGGCAACAGAGACTCCGATTCAAAACAAAACACTCTGATTGTAATATGAAGAATAAATTGTAATATGAGGAATAAATCCTATGCCTAAAATTATAGGTATAGGATACCATCTACAGACTTGTTGCAATAACCCAGGCAAAGGTAATAATGGCTAAGGCAATGGACAGACAGAGGTGTGAAAGATATTAGAGAGAGTTAAAAGGTAGACTTGATAGGACCTTTGTTAATTGATTGATTGGGGGATGGTTGGTAAAGGAAAAGGGGGAGTTGAACATTATGCCCATGTTTGTGGCCAGCAACTGGATAGACAGCAGAATTATTCATTAAGATATGATATTTTGGAGAAGCACATTTGGGGATTTGGGTGTACAAAAGGTCTTTGGAACATTTTTAGTTTTCAGGACAAAGTGGTAGAAAAGATTCATGGATCTGAAGGTCAGGAAGACAGGTCGGAAACAAAGATTTGGGCTTCCTCAGCATGTAGATGGTAATTAAAACCATAGTTCAGAAGGAATTACTAAATAAGTAGCATATATGACACTTGTTCATAACAAAAGCTCTTTGTCATTAGAATACGATTGAAAAAGAATTCTCATGCAACTAAGGTAGTAAAGAATGGATTGCATTTTAAAAATAGTTTTTCTAAATTTTTAAGAAGTCTGTCCCCCTAAGTGGTTTGATTTCAGTTAGCTATACAATTGGTTTACCTAAAAAAAATTTTATTTCTTAATGATGCGAGATAAGTGAAATAATACTTCAACTCCCCACTCTTTACATAATAGTTCTTGAATTTATCCCTTGTAAAAACTTCTTGAATGCTTATGTGTCCAACATTGTGCTGAGTAATGCAGCACAGTTTAATACAGTAAAAGAGCCTTACAATTAAGAGAAAATTTGGCAAATATGGCAGGGAGTGTGCATGGTGGTTAAGAGCACAAGTTTTGGAGACAAAGTTCTGGTCTGGGATCTACCACTAGCCAAGCGGCAGCCTTAGACAAGTTGCTTGACCTCCCTAGGATTAAATGGGGTAAGTAATTAAATGAGCTTGTAGGATTGTTCTAAGGATTAAATGAACCAAAGCATGTAAGGCACTCAGCATGGTTACAGGTATTTAATATACATTCAGTGAGTAGCATTTATTATTAGTATTATTATTTTGTCATTCTTACTGTGTTCTCCTCTAAAGTAAAAGATCATTTTGTCAAGTGAAGAATCACTTAGGAGAACAGTTAAAATAAAGTCTCGCAAGTTGATGTGACCTGAACTGGGATGATGACTGTTGGGAGGGAGAGAATTGAACAGAAGTAAAAAAATATTTAGATGGTAGAATCAATTGGACTTACTGATTGAATGGGAAAAGTGAAGGGAAGGAAAATAACCATTAGTTCTAATTGTCTGTCCCCCAAACAGGAAACAAAGATAACAATTAGATCTCATTATCTGTCCCCCAAAGAGGAAACACTAAAAATGGCTTTGGGTGGCAGAATAAGCCTGTGCGAATGCTATTTAACTCATTATTCACAGGATATTCATTAAATAATTATGCTAAATGTTTTATATAGAAAACAAAAACTTACTGTTCATTTTTAAAGTCAAATAGCTTTGTTTTAAAGGAGACCCACTTGTTAATGGTCCATTTACTATTAATTAGACAATCTGTGTTTAGCAAATCATGGCTGTGTGTGTGATATTCTGAGCCCACTATTGATAAGAAATGCCCTTCGCATTATTATTTTTCCATGAGTGGTACTGAGTTCATCTATTTCTTTCTACTAAGCCTCCACTATAGCCAAACCAGCATTTCTCAAGTGGTTCAGTAGGACCTAAGTATGGGGAGAATGTTTTCAAAATAATTTCAGCTTTTATTTTAAATTCAGGGAGTTTATTTGCAAGTTTGTTACATGTGTATGTTGTGTGATGCTGAGGTTTAGGTACAATTGATCCTGTCACCCAGGTAGTGGGCATAGTAGCCAATAGTTTTTCAACCTTTGCTCCCCTCCTCCCTCCCAACTCTAGTAGTCCCCATTGTCTATTGTTGCCATCTTTATGTCCATAAGTACCCAATGTTTAGCTCCCACCTATAAGTGAGAACATCTGGTATTTTGTTTTCTGTTTGTGTGTTAATTTGCTTAGGATAATGGCATCCAGCTACATCCATGTTGTTTCAAAGGACATGATTTCATTCCATTTTATGGCTATGTAGCATTCTATGGTATATACATAACACATATTCTTTATCTAGTTCACTGTTAATGGGCACCTTGGTTGATCCCATGTCTTTGTTATTGTGAACAGTGCTGTGATGAACACATGCATGTGTCTTTTTAGTCGAATGATTTATTTTCTTTTGGATATATACCCAACAGTGGGATTGCTGGGTCAAATGGTAGATCGTTTTAAGGTCTTTGAGATATTGCCAAACTGCTTTCCACAGTGGCTGAACTAATTTACCTTCCCACCAGCTGTGTATAACATTCCCTTTTCTCCTAGCCTTGCTAGCATCTGCTGTTTTTGGACTTCTTAATAATAGCCATTCTTGCTAATGTGAGATGGTATCTCATTGTGGTTTTGATATGCATTTTCTTCATGTCTGTTGGCTGCTTGTATGTCTTCTGTTGAGAAGTGTCTGTTCATGTCTTTTGCCCACTTTTCTTTTTTCTTTTTTTTTTGAGATGGAATCTTGCTCCGTCGCCCAGGCTGGAGTGCAGTGGCTCAATCTCTGCTCACTGCAAGCTCCGCCTCCTGGGTTTGCGTCATTCTCCGGCCTAAGCCTCCCAAGTAGCTGGGACTACAGGTGCCCGCCATCACGCCTGGCTATTTTTTAAAAAATATTTTTAGTAGAGACGGGGTTTCACTGTTTAGCCAGGATGGTCTCGATCTCCTGACCTTGTGGTCTGCCCGCCTCGGCCTCCCAAAGTGCTGGGATTACAGGCATGAGCCACTGCTCCTG